TTTTTTTTTTTTTTTAAGATTTTTAAAAAATTTATTTCTCTGACAGAGAGAGACACAGCGAGAGAGGGAACACAAGCAGGGGGTGTGGAGAGGGAGCAGGCTTCCCGTGGAACAGGGAGCCCGATGCGGGGCTCAATCCCAGGACCCTGGGATCATGACCTGAGCTGAAGGCAGACGCTTAATGACTGAGCCACCCAGGCGTCCCAAGGATCTTGTATGTCTTATGGATACCAAGGGCAAAGATGAAATCAGGTTTTGGGAACAGACTGGAAGTTGGGCCTAACTCCAGGATGTGTACTGTCTGCATTATTTTTTTTATTCTTCCAAAGACCGGCTTAAGCCCATGCATGTTTATGTAGCAGTCTCTCACAGCTCCTGAATTACAGTCCCAGGGAAGAGGCTGGTAAGACCAGCCTCGGCCAATCACGTATGGCCAGGATGTGTGGCCACATTGGAGAACATGGTTACCATGATTGTGACCACATGGGTGGTAGGAAAAGGTTTGTTCTTACAAGCATTTGGAGAGATGCTATGGGTCATGCAACCTCCAGCCTGATGCAGGGGGATATGGAAGGGATATCGATTGTGTTGACACTAACGAAAGTGCATCTTCAGCAGAAGCTGGGCCTATGTCTTTAATAAGCTGGGACCTTCACCCCTGCTGCATCTGCCCCCTTTGGGACTTTCTGAGGCGGTCACAAGTAGAAGGTTGGCTACAGTTTCGGTAGAGTTGGGGCAGCACTCAGGTCTGGAGCTGGGTTTGGGACCCAGGAGAATGAGAACAAGCAGCTGGATCCTTCTCACAGAAAGCATGCCGGCCCCTCCTGGGTGAGTGAGGGAGGTGAACCTTGCATTGGAGAGCACAGTGGTAATATGGCTAGAGCAGGGTTGAGGATAGGAGTCACTCAGAAGCCCTAGAAGGAGAGACTGAGGCTGGGGGCTGGGCCTGCACATGACAACAGTAAGTTTGGGCATTTCCCTGTGGGCCACGGAGAACCGGTGGGGGCTTATGAGGAGAGTGAACTGTCCTACAGCTGGCTAAGTGGTTTGGAAGAAGTCTCTGGCTGCAGTGTGGGCAAAGGGATGGCACAGGGTAGGTTGGGAGACAAGTGACTGAGGTGACTTGGGGGTTACCAAGCGCATTGGGGCAGGAGTGAGGGATCAGAGGCCCACAGAGCCCAGCCTCTCCACCTGGGTGCTCTCACGGGCAGACTGTGAGTCCCAGGCCCCAGCCCTGCTGATCGTGGGGCCTTCTCAGTTCTTTCCAGGGTGGTGGCTGTTTGCCTGGAACCCTCCCCGTGTCTAAGGACTTGTGAATGTTGGGGACATTTGGAGATATTAGACTTCTGTGGGAAGCAGGCCCCTCCTCCTAGCTTGGCCAAGCTGGGGTTTGCCCAAACTCACCTCCCTTGGGCCTGCAGACCTTGAAGGTTCTGACCAGGGCCTGGAGTTGCTGGGAGGAGGAAAATAGCTTCCCTCCACTGTGGCTGGGTGCCCCTCCCCAGCTCGCGGTGGGGGTTCTGTCGCTTCGGTCACAAGGTGAAGGCACCAACAGTTTTGGCTCCAGGCCGTGGCCGTTGCTCTGCCATCAATACTCCCATTTCATCCGTGTCTCGCTCTGGGCCTCAGTTTCCCCCACCCAGCTCCGTGTTGCGCCGCCTCGGACAGAGCTAGCGGGCGCCAGGGTTGCTATGCGCTCTTTATTGGGCCGGGGGCCGCGGACCGGGCCGGGCGCTCAGGGCCGCGGGCGAGGGCAGCGGCGCCGCTTCCGCGGCTGCTCCTCGGCTGGGTCGGCATCGCGGTCCACCTCGCTCTCGGTCAGCAGGCGCGCATACAGCCGCTGCCAGCCCGGCGCCACCGTGGCTCCGCCCCCCGCTCCGGCCCCGCCCCCGGGCGCGCCCGCCGCGCAGCGCCCCTCCTCCTGCAGCCGCGCGTCCAGCAGCAGCAGCAGGACCAAGATCTTCTTCATCTCGCGCGCGCGTACGCCCTCGCGCCGATCAGCGCCGTCGCCCGCTCCTCGCAGCATGGGCGCCGCCGCCGGGGAGCCCACCGGGCCGCCCGTCGCGTCCTCGCCTGGTCGCCCAGGCCGCGCGCTGGGGCCCGCCGCCACCTCGGCTAGCTGCTGCCGCTTGTCCAAGGGGAAAAGCAGCACGATCTTGGCCTGGGGGAAGAGCGCCCCGCGTCTTCTTGCTGAGGATCCTTACCCACCAGGTCCTGTCTCCTGGGACTCTGTTCCCTTTACGTTTCCAGGGGGCGGGAGTGGGTCTCCCCCTGCCCCATCGCCCAGGACCCCTGCCTTCCCTCTGGATACCCTTACCCACCCGAGGTTGACCTCCCGAGACCTTGCACCGTCGACGTATATGGGATTCTTTGCCTGCCCTCCTAGCGTTGGTGCTGGGACTCTAACCCACCCCAGAAGAATAGCACATTTTGTGGCTAGAAGCTGGAAAGGGGGCATAAGAGAACACCCTGTGCCCATAGCCTCTGTGGTTCCAACTAGGGCTGATTCTCATTGCTGAGCCTTCTACCCGTCTGTTACGAGTTGGGAGAATCCCTTCCTGCCCACCCTCCTGGACTCCCAAGTCTCCTGGTTTCTCCTGGTTTCTTGAATCCCTGCCCTCCCTTCTGGGCTGTTAAGACCCAACCACATCCACGTAGATTCCTGGGACCCTCATCCTCAGGAGGGGTTATCCAAGCCTTTCTATGGCCCTTGGACTTATGCCCACAAGGCCTAGACTCCCAGCATTCCCTCTTGCCCACCTGTTCAAGTACCCCTGGCTCCCACCTACCCCCCGCACCCTGGCACTCACGCTTGGCTTCTTCCGCTTGAGGTGGCTGAAGAACTGCTGTTTCCGCCCAGCCTTGTCCATATCGGGCGGCTTCTCCTTGCAGGCCTGCTTGGGCACTTTGGTCCTCTTGTGAGAACTGTTGTTTCCCATGGCAGGGCTGGTCACCACTGGGGGCCACAGCCCATGCTGCCTCTGCCCTGCCTTCTGGCTGGGCGGGGCGGGGGGGGTGCCCCTGCCCCTGCTCTGTCCCGTGGAGGCCACATTGTGACCTCATGGGTAAACCTCACCAGCTCCAGACTCAAAAGCTCCTCCTCCCAGAACCCACAGGCACATCTTGGCTCGGTTTATTCTGTGATTTGTGGCTTTGGTTTCTCAACTATAAAACTGGGCTAATAATCACGAATGAGGCAATGCTCGTAAGGTGCTTAGTGTTGAGTAGGGAGGAATTTTTGTGGTCTGGGTTTGAATTCTGACTCTGCCACTAACAGTTGAGTGATCTTGGCCAAGGTAATCAACTGCTCTAGGCCTCAGTCTTCTCACCTGCAAAATGGGGCCAATTATGGTTCCTGTAAATTGCTATGAGGATTAAATGAAATTCTCCTTTGAACATGGCCTGGCAAAGAGGGGGTACTGTTATGTTAGCCAGGTTTTTTGGTTGCAAGTAACGGAGACTGATCATCTTAAGTGCTCAAAAGGAAATTTATTGGAAGGATTTCAGGGAGCTCAGAGCATGGCCAGGAAGTCTGGAGACCAGGCTTGGAGAGACAGGACAGAGGCCATCAGCTCAAGAGTGAGGACTCAGCCCCCATTCTGTTCCCGCCTCCCAGCTCATAAGCCTGGCCCAGCAGGGCTCATTTGATGGCTGAGCTGAGGCAGGTCATGGACAGGAGATGAAGCCCCCTATGGATGGTGCCTCTGGAGCCCCTCGTGGAGGGTGGACAAGCCCCTGGCTGGACCATGGGTCCTCAGGACTCCCATCCTGCTCTGTGTCCTGTGTAGGAATTAACTCATTGAAGTTTTTCAACAGCTCAGTGAGATGGCTGCTGTCATCCCTGTTTTCTGGGTGAGGAAACTGAGGCACAAGGAGGCGAAGGTAGTTGGAGAGTCTCTGAGCATCCCACATGAGGAGCATAGGGCCTGGCATATGTCAGCCTTGTCTTTCTGCCCACGATGGGAGGGGCTGAGTGGCGGCTAGTGATGTAGGGATCAGTGCTGGTGTGTGTGTAAGGACAGGGACCTGGCTGGCTGGCTTGTATCTGCAGCTCCTAGGAGAAGGTAAAAGTTTGTTGCATGGATGAGTGAATGAATGAATGCATGCATAATTATGAGTTTAGGGCCAGCTGGTGAGTATGGGGCCACATCACACCATCATTTTGCCTCGTGTCAAAACTGGCCTTTGGATGCCCTGTGACCTGCCCTACCCCTCACCTGCCTACCTGTACGTGGGGCCACACTGGCTGAAGGTGGCGTCCCAACAGGGAAGGGGCCTTGGGGCCCAGAAAACGGCAGATGCCTCCCTGTTAAGTTGGCCTCACACCTCCCAGGAAGGAAAGCCAGGCAGACGAGGAGGGTCCAGGCCTGGCTCCCAGTCCCAACACTGTTCTGCTCCTGTTGCATGCTCTCTGCTCTTCATGCTGTCTCCGTTGCTTTGATGGGCAAGGGGTAGGGGGGCAGGGCAGTGGCTCCCCGTTCAGAAATAATAGGCTTGAGACCAGGAAATGTTGACCATGTCCCCTCTGCCCCCAGGAGTATGAGCGGGCCTCCAAGGTGGACCAGTTTGTGACGCGCTTCCTCCTGCGGGAGACGGTGAGCCAGCTACAAGCCCTGCAGAGCTCGTTGGAAGGGGCATCAGATACCCTGGAGGCCCAGGCCCGGGGCCCACGGTATGTGAGGTGCCCCGCTGGTCGCCGTCGCCACATTCCAGGGCCCTCGGCTTCCATCACATTCCGTAGCTCCAGTATCCCAGAGCTCACATTCTTGTTGGCAGGGAGGCCAAGAAGGGGTGAGAGGGGGTGGCTGGCTTTGAGGCTGGGTCTCAATGTCCCCGGAAGCCTGTTTTGCCCCACCCAGGCCTGGCCCTGTTCTGGGGCCCCAGTCCTTGGCCTGTGGGTCTGGGAGCAGCCGGTCGACCTTCCACTTCCCTAGGTCAGACGAAGACAGTGTGGGGGTGCAGAGCAGGCCCCACGGCAGTCGGCGGGTAGGGCGCAGGGCCCTGCGGAGCATCGGTCGGTCACCCACCTGGTCTCCTGGCTCCTCCGCCTCAGACACAGGTGGGCCTGTGGCAGCGTGGGAGGTCTGGCTGAGGAGGGTGCTGGGCGGGCGCAGTGCCCACCCCTCCACTGTCCCTGAGAGGCTTCCCCACGTGCGGGGCCCGTGCCAGACTTCCCCACCGTGGGTCTCCCACCCCAGGGCAGAGCTCGGGAGCCGAGATGCGGTGGCGGCTCCAGGTCAACCGTCTCCAGGAGCTCATTGACCAGCTCGAGTGTAAGGTGAGGGTCATGTGGCCAGTGCCCCAAGGGGGAGGACCTTCCTGGAATCCGTCTGAGCCAGACACGGTGGGGGCCCTGCCCACACTCTGCGTCCCTCACAGGCCCCCAGGCTGGAACCTCTGCACGAAGAGGAGCTTACCAAGGGGCCTGACTCGGTAAGTCCAGGAGAGGGACAGGCAACTGGGCATCGTGCCAGGAGGAGGTGCTCATTAAGTGAGGGGACTCACGGGCCTGCTGCCCACTTGGCCTCTGGGTTATACAGATGCCCTTTTCCCAGGCTGGTCCAGCCCTCGTCCCCCAGGCCTGGCAGCAGGCGCCAGGCCCGGTCCTTGCTGTGGGACCGTGTATAAGTCCCGGCCCCTCTCTGGGCATTAGTCTCCCTCATCTGCATCCCTGAAAGCTGGTCTGGGCAGCATGGTTGGAGGTTGGAGGGAGGAAATGGTGGCATACTGCAGGAGAGAGAGACAGTGGCAGGATAGAGGCAGTGACCTTGGCCGTGGGGAGAGGAGGATGGAGTCAGGGATGCGGGGGGGGGGAGCCGGGTTGGGCAGGAGCTTGATCTCATGGCAGGCCAGCGCTGGTGCAAGTCAGGCAGGGCGGGGTCTTCCTGAAGGCCACATCCCATCCCTCGCTGAGCCCTGCCTTACCCTGGCTGACCAGGTGGCCTCTCTTGCTAGCACATCCTCGTGGCCCAGAGGGAGGTGCAGGTGGCGGAGGAAGCCCTGCAGGATTTCCACCGTGCCCTGTGCTGCTACGTGGACTTCACAGGGGCCCAGAGCCATTGCCTGCAGTGAGTCCCCAGCTGGCTAGTGGGCTGGCCAAGGTCGGGGCGGGGGTGGTGAGTAGGGCAAAGTGCCGGGGGGCTGGGCATCCTGGGCCAGGGCTCCCATTAGACACCCCGGCTGGGTGGGCAGTGGTGGTGGTAGCCTGGGCCTGGCCATCTCTTTGGTCCCACAGTGTGTCTGCCCAGAAGATGCTAGACAATGCCTCTTTCACCCTGTATGAGTTCTGGCAGGATGAGGCCTCCTGGAGAAGGTATGAATGGTGTCTGAAAACTAACGTTTATTGAGTATGGGCCCTGGAGTGAGTCAGGCCGTGGTCCCAATGATCCGCTATCAGACCCTGGCTGTGTGACTTTGGGAGGGTTACTTATCCCCTCCGAGCCCCAGCGGTGTCCTTTCCAAAATGAGAGTGGTAAGAGGTCTACCCTCCTGTGAGCCAAATGAGACAGCAGATGAAGACCTGAACACAGCGCTGGGGGCAGGGTAGAGAGCAGGCACTCGGGGAACTGCGCCACAGCCTGTGCCAGGCACCCATGGGTTACACTTCATGTAATCCTCTGCGTGTCCTGCTACAGTATGCACTCTTGCCCCCAGTTCACAGGGGGAGCTGAGGCTCAGAGCCAGTAGGAGGCAGGACTGGGGAGGGAGTGGGGAGCTCTCAACCAGGTGGTCTTGCCCTCTGGGGGACCAGCTCCAGCCTCAGGTCACTCCATGAACCTCCCCAGGCACCAGCATTCTGCCTGTAGTAAGGCCTTCCAGCGCATCCTCATTGACTACCTTCGGGCTCCGGACACCCTCACCACTGTGTTCTTCCCAGGTATGCTGTGGCCCCCAACCCTCTCTACAGCCATATGGAGTGGCAGTGGGCCCCTGATGCCTTCTGATCCTCAACCTCTGACCCCTAGCCTCCTGGTGGATTATGAATAATAACTGAGCCTGACCTGCATAAGCCAAGGCCCTGGGGCCCTACCTGCCTCATTCTGGAGCTTCTGGACTGGTCAACTCAGCACCAAGACCAAGGACGTGGCCACTCTTAGACCTGGGGCTGGGCTCTCAGAGGTGCCCCCCGCCCCCCCTCCCCCCGACCCAGCCGGTGGAGAGTCCCTCAGCCCAGGGATCAGGGACTGGGCTGCTTGCTTTCTGTTTATCAGTGTATTCTATTTGAATCTTTAGCCTCTGAGGCACTCTGGCCTCTGCCTGGCTCAGGAGGCTTGGATTCTGGTCCCCTTCTGTCCCAGCCTTGTTGTGGGACACAGAGCAGGTCGCTTCCCTCTCTGGGTGGGCCTTGGGCTGTCTGGCTGCCTAGTGGGTACCCTGCTTTCTTCCTGCTGCCTTGGGGCCAGGCTTCTGCTCTTCCTCAACCAGCCGCAGAACCAGGGCTGATGCTCAGGGACACCACCCCCCCACCAAACCTCGACCCCTGAGGCTGGGCCGGATCCGTCTGCAGTGTGGGGTAAGGACCTGGGTGTCCCCATCACCCTCCTGGGCTGGCAGGCTCCCAACTCTTCCAGCACCTTCCGCTGCACCAGAGCCTTCTGCAGGATCCTGGTTGGTTTGCATGTCATTTGCATATCATTTGCATGCTCATGCCCACCCGTACTCAGGGCACTATGGGAAGTCCCAAGGTGACCTTGCCAAGTAGCAATAATTTGGGCCCAGTGTCACCTGCTCCCCCTGAGATACCTCTGAGCCCCAGCCCAGGACCCCAGCCCAAAGGCAATAAAGGAAGTGGTCACCTCTGGTGGTGTGTCCTCTCTCTCCCTCGGCAGGAAGGCCAGGCTTTGGGGTTGGTTTGTATATCACACCAGCCACTCAGGGCTGGCAGCCTTTCTTTAGAAATCAACTGTTTCTCATCTTGGGCTCCCGTTCTCTCCAGACGGTGGGAACTTCACAGCTAACCTGTTTCCTCAACTCAGGGCCCTCTCACCTCCACAAA